ACGTTATTATTTCAATTTTTCAATTTTGAATGCGTATTACAGCAATATGGATAAGGGCACAAAAATGTATCTATACTTGCTGGATTCCCCATACATTCAGCTTTCATATGCATATATTGTATTCATTCTATCTATTATAGTTTTAGAGTAAATCAACGAAATGTGAAGACATTGCTTTCTCGAACGTTATTATTTCAATTTTTCAACTTTGAACGAGTATTACAGCAATATGGATAAGAGTACAGGAATGTGTCTGTACTTGCTGGATTCCCCAAATATTCAGCTTTCATATGCATATATTGGACTCATTGTATCTGTTATAGTTTTCGAATAAATCAATGAAATGTGAAAACACTGCTTTTTCGAACGTTCTTATTTCAATTTTTCAACTTTGAATGCGTATTACAACAACATGGATAAGAGCACAGGAATGTATCTATACGTTATCTATAAGTTTGATGTCCATTAAAGGTAAATAACGGAACATGTAGCTCTCTCTACCGGAACGCGCCCCGAACTAACTTCAATACAGGTAAGACAGTTCACCTGTAACACCTGTGATTGGAGCAGCACGATCAAAGCGTCCACCGGCAGATGTCGCTCCTATCCGAAAAAGCACCCACGTATCCTGACCCACTCGTCCCGGCAGGATCTTTAATTTAACACATGGCATTTCGGTTGGATTGCGCAGAACTGATGCGCACTTTGCGCGCCGCAGGATTCGGATCCGTCCGGCTCGCGTGTTTCTCTCCTTATCTCACAAACGCGTACGTATATCGCGAACGGAGGAGCACAACACTTACTAACATACACACCGCATACATAAAGCATACACTTTTACTAACTAAATATTTCGTATCGTTGTCGTGCTCAAGTAAAGAAAAAAAAAGCGCGTACATAATATTGTGTGAGTGTTGTAAAGCAAAACGAACGTACGGAAAAATGTGCGATACGGGTGTACGCCGCTGAACTGCAGGAAGGATCTCTCATAATCCAGGACCTCTTCACAAAAGTCGTCCACTTTTTTTCGGGGGAGAAAAACACGAGATCAAAACAACAAAAACAACAATATGACAACATTAGAACTTTACACGAAGGTACGAACATCTCTTCTTAACAAACCAAACATTTCGGTTTTGATTTGTTTTTTTTTTCATCATTCTTCGATTTTCGTTATCATCTCAGAAGTTGAGCATTTTAAATTCGACACCGATAACGTCACATGCATTTTACGACGTGATAACGCATACTTTTTTCTGTCCACTTTAAACGCAACGTTTGAAATAATCTGGATGGATTTGAATTCGCTGCTGTAACCGCCATCTGGTAAACTCCCGATTATATAGCTATTGTTTTTATCTTACGCTTTGTAACGTGGAAATGAAATGAAACGTGGAATCGTCTATATTTAGACAATAAACAGAAAATATGTCACAAAATTGTTTATTGTAACATCTGATAAAGGAAGATTAGTGGATACATGACGCATACTTAATTATCAAAGACAGGATTTTTTTTTGTATTTAAAATGCACCAATTCGTGTTATCAAATATATCAAAAATTATAAATAAACTTAATGCAATTATAGATAAGTATTTAAATCTAATTGATTGCAATCTTATAATTAATTTCCACTTCCAGATATTACATTTACTAAAATGTTTTATAATATAAAGTTACAAAATTAAATTGGGAAAATACCCAAAAGACAAGTATCCTAAGTAATTTGCAAATTACAATTGTCTACAAATATATTAAAGCATAAACTTGTATTGTCTCCTATTATCTTATTATTTTATACAAGAAATTTATTTTAAGAACAAATCTTAAGGCGGGGCAACAATTTTAAGATCAATAATCTATAAATATATCACATATCAGTTCATTTTCATTATTACCACTTTACAGACAAATTCTATATGTGTACTTAATATAAAGACACTGTATTGTTATAATCAACTAAAATGTTGCATATTATGTACAGAAACATTCGATTCGTGTAAAATGTTTTCGTTCTTAAAAATTTCTAAATTATTCAGTATTTTCAGTACAAAATGAGTTTTTTAATTATAAGTTACCAATATGTATTTAAAATTTATAATTAATAACATAACGAAATTCTACCAATTTAGTACTATATAAAAGTTTAGTTTAGTTTTTTAACACAATAACAAATTTAAATAGGCGAAATACAATTATTTTTGTTAAATTTAGAGTAATTTGTATAAATGTAATCCCAATTGGGAATTATGTGCTTTGTATTGTACGTGTATAAATGTACTGAGTTTGCATGGTTTTAGATGGCAGCGCGAAGTGAGAGAGGTTACCCTGACCTGACCCAAACAAATCCAGTCGAACCCTCGAACACACGCCCTTCGACGTAGTTCCGTTCAAAACCGCATTTCGCTACATCAATAACCTCTTATATTCATCATCAATTTGAAATTAGAATCTTCCATTCATATTCCCAAAAAATGTTACTAATAGTTACATTTTTTAACTTAACATATATTTTATTTCGTCACTATTATTTAATATTAAAGATATTTTTTATAATTTTATTCACAATTTGTTCATCAATGTGAACATTGACATTAAATGGATAATCTTTCCCGGTGGATAGTTACCATTATGATGATTAGGTTAACTTCAATAGTATATTGATCTTTTCTTTATATTGTCAGATTTCAAGTTATTGTTTTAACCTAATAATTTCATTAAAATCATTATGAATGATGTATGTAACAATTTAGTGCACCAAACAAACTTTTGTTTTCCAAAATTTCTTGTTTTTGTAATTTTTACAAATAGTTCCAATTCAACAAAATCTCCTAAAACAATAACGTGTTATTATCTCAATTACCAAGTGAACTTTAACTTCAATTAATTACAATAAAATTACTTTTCAATCTATAAAACAATAATTTGCTTAACTTATTTTTAGAAACATTAAAAAAAAATATATCCATGAATTTCTTTATAAACAACTTTTTGTTTATAATTATTCAAAAATACTTAATTTTGTAGCGCCATCTCTTGATGTAACCATAATTAAAAATTCCATCTTTAAAGCATTTGTTTCTATCGTTAAATTTGATTTAGCGTGTATAATTTCTGGTATGTTTCGTGGTTTCTGCGAGATCCACGATTTATTTTGATCCATCCAATTTGTTCCGCAGTGTGAGAAGTTACAGTTGACTGCATCGCTCGATACAAAACGTTTCTACACAACGAATAAACTCTTGTTTCAACGATCCAATAAAAAAAAACACGTAGTTATTATGTGTTTTATATATAAAACTTACAAAACGGGAATTGCTTTTTTTCATTTGCAAATGTTAGATGAAAATAATATTAGTAAAAAGATTATAACATACAATTCTTTGAAATTAATTAATACAAATTAGTGTTTATTGTAAGTATAATTAATTTATAATTATTTTAAAAGTTTTATATATTTGTATTTTTAAAGTTACAAAAAAATAAATAATAATAATAACAACAAATTAAGACATTTTAGAAGATGAATTTAATAAAGTAAACAGGTAAAATCACCAATTCAAATACTATCCACGTCATTCATTGCTTAACTATCCTAGGCAGTGTCAGCCTTTTTTAACGTTTGACTGTTTAATAGTTAGTTCTAATAAGTTATATATTATTAATTTAATACCATTTATAATAATAATAATAATGATTCATTAGGTTTATTGATTAATTATTTAATGTAATAAATTCCTATCGTTAAGGTAAATAATAAATATTGTTATCATTTTATAATCATTGGATTATTCTCTATTATAATCAATAGATTTTGTGAATATATTTCTTTAAATTGAAATATTTTAATTTACATATATTATCTTGAAATGATAAATTTATAAATAAAATTACCTAAATATATAATTTACAAATTCACAGTGCGGTTTTTCAAATTGCAAATAGATGGTAAATACATAGTATTATGTATTCCAAGTCTTCTGCAGCGTATGATTCGGTGATTGCTGCTCTTCAACATAAACGACGTTAAGCGAAGCATGGTAAATACAATGCGTTCCATTCGGATGAATAAAAATAGATTTCGTTTAATAAATTCGAACCGTCGATACGTGACCGATCTATTTATACGTAACGTGAATTGAATGGAATTTGGTGTACGAAATTATTGACAAAATAGTCGCCGTTGGCTGTTACCTCCTTTTCCTCCTCTTTCTCCTCATTCACCTCTTCCTCCACCCATATAATACATGTGCGTGATGAGAAAGTGGACGAGATTCGAAGTTGCTGAACTTTGATTGAACTTTAGGTCTCTTCGGTTTTCGAGGAGCGGCGCCCCCTTTGTCTACATTCAATATGTATAATAGACTCGTTCCATAACATGAATTACTTCAGTAAATGCCGAATGATTAAACTGCAATTATGCTTGTTGTATGTTGTTGAGCGTATAACTAAAGATTAAAATTCCATAGGATTTACAATCATATCTAAGCCTCTACAAGTATCTTGTTATATAAGTACTTGTACAAGTTATTTGGTTAGTAACTGACTTATACCTCATAGTTCTCATGTTCTTAAATACTTTCTGTTTCTCATCGTATACGTTTTTTGGCGAATAACATTCTTACAGAACATCTAATATAAAGCTATACTTGTTGAATTCATCAGAATTTTGTACAAGTTATTTGGTGTGTAACAGAATTACACGAAACTAAAGCTTTTCAAATTCATAAGTACTAATGCAAATTATTTGATGAGTGACAGACTATCATATCATCAAATTTAAACCTGTACTTCTCCAATTAATAAGTATTTTATACTTGTTACTTGGAAACGTTAAAAGTAGAGCTTTAGCTTTCGATAAGTACACATTATTTGATAAGTAACACACTTATATCTCGTCAAATCTAAAGCTATACATCTCCAATTAATAAGTACTTTGTGCAAGTTACTTGGTATGTAATATACATAAACGTCATCGAAGCTAAAGCTCTATTTTTAAGTTCATAAGCATTTGTATACACTATTTTATAAGTAACACACTTACACCTCATAAAATCTAAAACTGTACTTTGCAATTTATAAGTACTTTGTATAAGTTACTTGGTTTGTAATACACTTAAACGTTGTCGAAACTAAAGCTTTACTTTTAAGTTCATAAGCATTTGTATACTCTATTTGATAAGTAATTACACACTTACACCTCATCATATCTAAAGCTGTATTTCTCCAATTCATAAGTACTTTGTGCAAGTTACTTGGTGTGTAATACATTTTAACGTCATCAGCTAAAGTTCTACTTTTAAGTTCATAAGCATTTGTACACATTATTTAAGTAACAACTTACACCTCATCAAATCTAAAGCTATAATTCTCCAATTCATAAGTACTTTGTGCAAGTTACTTGGTGTGTAATACATTTTAACGTCATCGCAGCTAAAGTTCTACTTTTAAGTTCATAAGCATTTGTACACATTATTTGATAAGTAACATACTTACACCTCATCAAATCTAAAGCTATAATTCTCCATTTCATAAGTACTTTGTGCAAATTACTTGGTGTGTAATACATTTTAACGTCATCGCAGTTAAAGTTCTACTTTTAAGTTCATAAGCATTTGTACACATTATTTGATAAGTAACACACTTACACTTCATCAAATCTAAAGCTATACATCTCCAATTCATAAGTGTTTTGTGCAAGTTAATCGGTGTGTAATATACTTAAACGTCATCGAAGCTAAAGCTACACTTTATTACACGTTATTAAATCTAAAGCTACACTTTGTAAGTTCATAAGTGCTTGTAGAAATTATTTGATGAGTAACAGACTTACGCCTCATAAAACCAAATTATATTTTTATAATTATACTTTTACAATTCATACGTACTTTGTAGAAGTTACTTGGTGTATAACAGACTTACAGAAAAGCAATATTTTTCATGTTCATATATAATGAAAACAAAAATACAAATTTTATATTATTCCAAACAATCAAAAACTGTGACAAAATCAGGGATTTTTAGATTTTAGCTGTATGAACTCTTCAGAGATTTCAAGACTTTTGAGTATATTAAAATATTTCTTTTTTTTTCATT